ATTATCTTTATCCCATTTTAATCCAAGACTTTCATTTTTTATTCCCCTTGCTTTTAATTTTTTTTGTAACTACCTTTCAACAATTTTAATGATTTTTTTTTCTTTGTTTTTTTTTTTCTTTTTTTTTTCTTTTTTATCTTTATTCAATTTTAATAGATTCTTCTTTTTTTACCATTTTAATGTTGTTGATCATGATTTTCTAAAATGATGGTAAAAATCTAAATAATTGAAATAGAAAAGAAATAGAAGATCTAAATTTTTTTTTTCTCTCTCAATTAAACCTGTATAAAGTCTTGTTTTCCTTTTTCTCNTTATGTTGTTGGAGGAGGTGTTGCAATAAAATAAAATAAAATTGAATTTGAACTTAAATCCTCCTTTAATTTTTTTAACATTTAATTTGATCGAAATTGTAAAAAAAAAAAAAAATAATAATAATAAACCAAAATTGTTGTAATTTTAAAACTATAATATTTTTTCATCCAAGTATTATTACAGAAGTTCTCTTAGACGTTCAATAAATTAAAAATATTAATACTATTTTTGAAAATTTATGAATATTTTTGAACCTGAAATAAAGTTGTATTTATATAATGATAAACGTATTATTAAAATAAAAGTAGTGATCATAAGATTTCTATGTTACATTATTAAAGGGCTTGAATTAAAAATGTTCATCTCTTATTGAGAACATCTCTCTCACCAATAGCTTATCTTCTCTAGCGTGGTTGATCTTCTGTACAGTCTTCACATCACTCCATTGGCTGCGGCGGAGGGGGCGGAGAGGGGAAGAGAAACGCCGCCGGGGGTGGTGGAGAGGGGAAGAGAAATGCCGCTGGAGGTGGTGATTTAAAGAAGTTTCGCGTAGGTGGTGGCGGAGAGGGGAAGAGAAATGCTGCCGGAGGTGGAGATTTAAAGAAGTTTTGCGTAGGAGGTGGCGGAGAGGGGAAAAGAAACGCCGCCGGGGGTGGCGGAGAGGGGAAGAGAAATGTTGCCGGGGGTGAAGATTTAAAGAAGCTTCGCACAGGAGGTGGCGGAGAGGTGAAGAGGAACGCCGCTGGAGGGGGCGGAGAAGTGAAGAGGAAAGTAGAAAGAGATCTACGGGAATGGTTCAGGTCCGGCGATGAGTCAGCAATGACAAGAAATGGATGAAAGAAAAATGGAAAAATGAATAGCATAAATAACACTAAATCATTCATTTTTTGTTCTTTCTTTTTGATGTTTGGTGATCATAAAGATGGTATGAAAATCCACAGCCAATCTAA